GCCCGTCCTCGGCCAGCGTTCCCTACGTCAAAAAACGGTCGTACTACAGAGCCTCATCCTCAACCCCCCGACCTCCTAACAGCACGTCGCATTTATGACGTACTAGAAAATTGACAGCGGCTCGCGAAATTGACCTTCAGTCCCGTTTTCTGTTGTGGGTCCTCTGGTAGGTTAGGATAAGGGCACTTTAGTACGACGGTTTCTTGACGTTGGGGGAACGCTAGTGAGAATAGGCTGGTCGGTCCTAGCCTTCCACAGGACCCCACGGAAAAGAAAACGGGACATTTTGTACATTTGTGACTTGCCTGGTTTAAAGTCCTGTGTAATGGATGGTTTCACGGGTCCTGTGTAATGGATGGTTTCACGGGTCCTGTGTAATGGGTGGGTGTCACGGGTCCTGTGTAATGGGTGGGTGTCACGGATCCTGTGTAATGGGTGGTTTAACGAGTCCTGTATAATGGGTAGTGTTATGTACTCACCTAATTGTACTCACCTAATTGTGCTTGCGGGGGTTGAGCTTTGGCTCTTTGGTCCCGCCTCTCAACTGTCAATCAACTGAAATGTATGGTCCTGTATACGCAAGAGATACATATACGTAATACATTATACAATGTATAATGGTCCTGTGTACGCAAGAGATACATATACGTAATACATTATACAATGTATAATGGTCCTGTGTACGCAAGAGATACATATACGTAATACATTATACAATGTATAATGGTCCTGTGTACGCAAGAGATACATATACGTAATACATTATACAATGTATAATGGTCCTGTGTACGCAAGAGATACATATACGTAATACATTATACAATGTATAATGGTCCTGTATACGCAAGAGATACATATACGTAATACATTATACAATGTATAATGGTCCTGTATACGCAAGAGATACATATACGTAATACATTATACAATGTATAATGGTCCTGTATACGCAAGAGATACATATACGTAATACATTATACAATGTATAATGGTCCTGTGTACGCAAGAGACGAGGACAACGCTAAGGACGTGACCTTTCATCTTAGTTTACAGACAAGCTACTTCTGCGATGCTAAGCTCAGCCAATGACAGCCCCGGACGGAGCCAGCGTTAGCTCTGATTGGCTGGTGTCAATGTCACTTGGAAGGATGGAACATCCGGTCCCTACAAGGATGGAACATCCGGTCCCTACAAGGATGGAACATCCGGTCCCTACAAGGATGGAACATCCGGTCCCTACAAGGATGGAACATCCGGTCCCTACAAGGATGGAACATCTGGTCCCTACAAGGATGGAACATCCGGTCCCTACAATGATGGAACATCCGGTCCCTACATGGATGGAACATCCGGTCCCTACAAGGATGGAACATCCGGTCCCTACAAGGATGGAACATCCGGTCCCTACAAGGATGGAACATCCGGTCCCTACAAGGATGGAACATCCGGTCCCTACAAGGATGGAACATCTGGTCCCCCTACAAGGATGGACCATCTGGTCCCTACAAGGATGGAACATCTGGTCCCCCTACAAGGATGGACCATCTGGTCCCTACAAGGATGGAACATCTGGTCCCTACAAGGATGGAACATCTGGTCCCCCTACAAGGATGGACCATCTGGTCCCTACAAGGATGGAACATCCGGTCCCTACAAGGATGGAACATCCGGTCCCTACAAGGATGGAACATCCGGTCCCTACAAGGATGGAACATCTGGTCCCCCTACAAGGATGGACCATCTGGTCCCTACAAGGATGGAACATCTGGTCCCTACAAGGATGGGACATCTGGTCCCCCTACAAGGATCGACCATCTGGTCCCTACAAGGATGGAACATCCGGTCCCTACAAGGATGGAACATCTGGTCCCTACAAGGATGGAACATCTGGTCCCTACAAGGATGGAACATCCGGTCCCTACAAGGATGGAACATCCGGTCCCTACAAGGATGGAACATCCGGTCCATACAAGGATGGAACATCTGGTCCCCCTACAAGGATGGACCATCTGGTCCCTACAAGGATGGAACATCTGGTCCCCCTACAAGGATGGAACATCTGGTCCCTACAAGGATGGAACATCCGGTCCCTACAAGGATGGAACATCTGGTCCCCCTACAAGGATGGAACATCTGGTCCCTACAAGGATGGAACATCCGGTCCCTGCAAGGATGGAACATCTGGTCCCTACAAGGATGGAACATCCGGTCCCTACAAGGATGGAACATCCGGTCCCTACAAGGATGGAACATCTGGTCCCCCTACAAGGATGGACCATCTGGTCCCTACAAGGATGGAACATCTGGTCCCTACAAGGATGGAACATCTGGTCCCCCTACAAGGATCGACCATCTGGTCCCTACAAGGATGGAACATCCGGTCCCTACAAGGATGGAACATCTGGTCCCTACAAGGATGGAACATCTGGTCCCTACAAGGATGGAACATCCGGTCCCTACAAGGATGGAACATCCGGTCCCTACAAGGATGGAACATCCGGTCCATACAAGGATGGAACATCTGGTCCCCCTACAAGGATGGACCATCTGGTCCCTACAAGGATGGAACATCTGGTCCCCCTACAAGGATGGAACATCTGGTCCCTACAAGGATGGAACATCCGGTCCCTACAAGGATGGAACATCTGGTCCCCCTACAAGGATGGAACATCTGGTCCCTACAAGGATGGAACATCCGGTCCCTGCAAGGATGGAACATCTGGTCCCTACAAGGATGGAACATCCGGTCCCTACAAGGATGGAACATCCGGTCCCTACAAGGATGGAACATCCGGTCGCTACAAGGATTGAACATCCGGTCCCTACAAGGATGGAACATCTGGTCCCCCTACAAGGATGGAACATCCGGTCCCTACAAGGATGGAACATCTGGTCCCTACAAGGATGGAACATCTGGTCCCTACAAGGATGGAACATCCGGTCCCTACAAGGATGGAACATCCGGTCCCTACAAGGATGGAACATCTGGTCCCTACAAGGATGGAACATCTGGTCCCTACAAGGATGGAACATCCGGTCCCTACAAGGATGGAACATCCGGTCCCTACAAGGATGGAACATCCGGTCCCTACAAGGATGGAACATCTGGTCCCTACAAGGATGGAACATCCGGTCCCTACAAGGATGGAACATCCGGTCCCTACAAGGATGGAACATCCGGTCCCTACAAGGATGGAACATCCGGTCCCTACAAGGATGGAACATCCGGTCCCTACAAGGATGGAACATCCGGTCCCTACAAGGATGGAACATCCGGTCCCTACAAGGATGGAACATTTGGTCCCTACAAGGATGGAACATCTGGTCCCTACAAGGATGGAACATCCGGTCGCTACAAGGATGGAACATCCGGTCCCTACAAGGATGGAACACCCGGTCCCTACAAGGATGGAACACCCGGTCCCTACAAGGATGGAACATCTGGTCCCCTACAAGGAAGGGAATGCACAAGCGGCTCCGCTCCTGCGTCTCATCCTCACCCCCCTTCATTAGAGACTAACAAAAAGTGTGAGGCAGGAAAAACCTCACGGGTGTCTCCTCACAGCCTTGGAGACCCTCTCACACTCATCACACACTCATACACTTCAAGAGTGTCATAAAACACTCTCTCTCCACTCAACAGGACTCACTGATCTCTCATATACTAGAGTGAGTAGTCTATACAAGGATGGAGATCAGATGCCTATGGCTAGTGTTACCCAACTTTGCAGGGTGACTGGTGAAAGGTCGGTGACCAGCATGGACGAGCCGAAGTCGGTCACATTGCTCCCAATAAAAGGACATCAACTCCCAAGGCGGTATCTCCAAAATCCGTGGGAAGTGGGAAGTGAAATTTCCCATACACCCAGGTGTTTCTATACACCCAGGTGTCCCTATACACCCAGGCATCGCTCCCCTGAACCCCACAGTGCCTCAAGGTGCTCTCACCTCACACAGCTCCAGTACACTATGTATACTCTCCTACAACTCCTCTTTTCACCCCACTATGTATAGAAACTCCCTCCTACACCTCTTCACGCCCGACCACTATATCTTCTCCCCCGTAATTCCTATTCCATCATTTACTCCCACCGACCCATTCCTACGCCACCTTTTACACCCATCCCCCTTCCAGCGTGACGGCTTAAGCCTCCTCTTTGTCTCATTAACTCCTCGACGGGTTTTTCATTCCTTTACTTGTCAGTCATATGGGGAGTTTTGAGGCCATCTTTTTATCTTCCTCTCTTTGCCCAGGCACTCCACAACTGCGTCTCTTTCATATACACACAATAGTGTGTGTGTGTGTGTGTGTGTGTGTGTGTGTGTGTGTGTGTGTGTGTGTGTGTGTGTGTGTGTGTGTGTGTGTGTGTGGTCGTTGAAACATACCATTTTCTTGTAGTTTATGATATCTTAAGAGATTTGGACTAATTACGACATCTTATGGCCTGGATTTATCTATCATGACGACTTAATCTCTATCTACTGTACAGTTTACAAACTTGAGAACATTACGAGGTCGTCCTCGACCCAAGGATATGATTGCTATAGACAACCTCGAAGCTCTTCGGAACTCGTAACCCATTTCATAAATACAAACTAACCCGCCATGATTGAAGAAAGATGTACAGGTTTCGCAGGTAACAATACAGTATATGTTATTATATACAATTATTATACAAAGAAGCAAGGATGGTGACGGCGCAGTGCTCTCTGGTCGGGCAAAATAAATCAATAAATAGACTCTAAGGCCTAAGCCAATTCTGACCAGTCTAAATTGGTGTTCTTTAAGTCAACCCAAAAGCCCCCGTCCCAACTCAACCTAACCCTAAGACATGTCTCAGTTTACATCTTGAGTTTGAGTCATGGTATTGCACAAGGTGTGACGTCACCTATGACGTCATTGTTTGATTTTGGTGAAGCTGTTGTTTGTGTGAGATAGTTAGAGGGAGAGGAGATGATTGTTTGTGTTGTGTGTGTTCTCTTGATGCCCTGCACGCTTCTTAATCCCTCTTAAGATGCCCCAGCTCCTCTTCCTCCCTCTTAAGATGCCCCAGCTCCTCTTCCTCCCTCTTAAGATGCCCCAGCTCCTCTTCCTCCCTCTTAAGATGCCCCAGCTCCTCTTCCTCCCTCTTAAGATGCCCCAGCTCCTCTCCCTCCCTCTTAAGATGCCCCAGCTCCTCTTTCTCCCTCTGAAGATGCTCCAGCTCCTCTTTCTCCCTCTTAAGATGCCCCAGCTCCTCTTCCTCCCTCTTAAGATGTCCCAGCTCCTCTTCCTCCCTCTTAAGATGCCCCAGCTCCTCTTCCTCCCTCTTAAGATGCCCCAGCTCCTCTTCCTCCCTCTGAAGATGCCCCAGCTCCTCTTCCTCCCTCTTAAGATGCCCCAGCTCCTCTTCCTCCCTCTTAAGATGCCCCAGCTCCTCTTCCTCCCTCTTAAGATGCTCTAGCTCCTCTTCCTCCCTCTTAAGATGCCCCAGCTCCTCTTCCTCCCTCTTAAGATGCCCCAGCTCCTCTTCCTCCCTCTTAAGATGTCCCAGCTCCTCTTCCTCCCTCTTAAGATGCCCCAGCTCCTCTTCCTCCCTCTTAAGATGCCCCAGCTCCTCTTCCTCCCTCTGAAGATGCCCCAGCTCCTCTTCCTCCCTCTTAAGATGCCCCAGCTCCTCTTCCTCCCTCTTAAGATGCTCTAGCTCCTCTTCCTCCCTCTTAAGATACCCCAGCTCCTCTTCCTCCCTCTTAAGATGCTCTCGCTCCTCTTCCTCCCTCTTAAGATGCCCCAGCTCCTCTTCCTCCCTCTTAAGATGCCCCAGCTCCTCTTATCTTGGTCTGAACTCCTCCTCTTATTCTTCTCCTCTCTTCTTCACAGTTACTCATCTACTTCCTATTCTCTCTACTCTTCTCATGACTTGAATTCTTCTCAGTTACCTTAATCTTTCCTTCTCTCCTCCTCCTTCTCTTACCCTCCAGCAGTGCCATCTTAACCTCCATTTATGATTAAAGTATTGTTTTTGTCTTACAGATGAATTCAAGTCATTCTCAACCATTATGCACTTACAACAACAACAGCGATTTGGGATTTTCAAGATTTTTTTTTTTACATCAACTTTTTTTTTTCAGTCCCTCAAATATACGATTTTTTTAGATATCATTTTTTTTTATTATTTTTATTTTCTCAATCATCTGTTTTTCTTACCCTAATTTTGACATGGGATTAAAAAGTCATTTCTGTAGTGTACATCAGACTTTGGTCATTACAAACTTTTCTCAATAATTTAAGACTTTTCTCTATAATTTAAGATTTTTCTCTATAATTTAAGACTTTTCTCTATAATTTAAGATTTTTCTCTATAATTTAAGACTTTTCTCTATAATTTAAGATTTTTCTCTATAATTTAAGACTTTTCTCTACAATTTAAGACGGGAAGGTATCTGACACTTAATTATTCAGGCCGTTTTGTACTCGAGTCAGAGGTCAATTGAATGGGTCAGTAGTTGAGGCAGTTGTAACGAGGCAATCACAGGCGGTTACAGCCAGTAAAGAAACCAGCAATTACATGTCATCAAAGCGCTGAATGCAAATGGAAAATGGAAGGCATCTCTTGCGTCAACATATTTGTATACTTGGCTAGCGGACCTTCTGGCAGACATAATATATATGGAAAAAGGTTGGAAAACTAACTCTCCAACTCTACATTTCACAGTTCTATTATGATCTGGGGGCGTTTCATTGAGCCCGGTCAACATTTCCAGCGGCAGAGCACTATAGTGAATGCAATTTATAGCTGGAGCATCTATATATATATATATATATATATATATATATATATATATAACGGAGAGTGTCCCGCGGGTCAAGAGGTCACTTACAGACTCCTAACTGCCTATACGTTCTTACGATGGTTGGGGAAGCATGCCAGAGGTTCCGTCTTGGTGTACAAGATGGTAGAGTGTTGCTGTGTTAGCTGGCATCTTAATACTTGGCTGTGATTATATATATATATATATATATATATATATATATATATATATATATATATATATATATATATATATATATATATATATATATATATATATCCAGAGGGGAAACGCCTCCAGCGTCCTCTTGTAGCTGAACCAAGGACCTACCTCAGTGTGAGCTAGCTGTTGATAGCCGGATGTGTTTAACATGTAGTGCTTCGGCCATGTCTAATCTTCTACTCTCATTGTATCTATTATTTCAGTATAGTTGGTCAGGATATCTCTAGTGATGGTCTGGTTGTGTGTAAAAATGATGTGGTGTTTGGTGGAGCCTTGAGAAAGCCAATGGCTGAGCGGACAGAACACTGGACGCGTGATCCTGTAATCCCGGGTTCGATCCGGGGCGCCGGCGAGAAACAATGGGCAGAGTTTATTTCACCTCTGGGCCTCTGTTACCTAGCAGTAAATAGGTACCTGGGAGTTAGTCAGCTGTCACGGGCTGCTTCCTGGGGGTGGAGGTCTGGTCGAGGACCGGGCCGCGGGGACACTTAAACCCCGAAATCATCTCAAGATAACCTCAAGAAGAAGATAACCTTGCTGCTTGTGCTTAACCAGGCAACCTTGAAAGTGATGTTGTCATCTTGGCTATATACTGAGATCTTTGAGGATGACAGACCATATAGTGGTATAAACAGACATTTGTCTACATCAAGACATATTGCTCTTGTAGTATATGTTGATATATACATATAGTATATATACATCTTATGTATAGTGACTGTAAGGCTCACTTTCCTGTGGATTACGCCCTTCAGGGCACTTTCCCCCGAGTTAGCATAACACTTCACTTTCCAATTAATGATGCCTTTGATATGAGGTTTGGAATAACCTTGGGCCAGATTCACGAAGCAGTTACGCAAGCACTTACGAACCTGGGGGCAAGGTTCACGAAGCAGTTACGCAAGTACTTACGAACCTGGGGGCCAGATTCACGAAGCAGTTACGCAAGTACTTACGAACCTGGGGCCAGATTCACGAAGCAGTTACGCAAGTACTTACGAACCTGGGGGCCAGATTCACGAAGCAGTTACGCAAGTACTTACGAACCTGGGGCCAGATTCACGAAGAAGTTACGCAAGCACTTACGAACGTGTACATCATTCCTCAACCTTTGACGGCTTTGGTTACATTTATTAAACAGTTTACAAGCATGAAAACTTGCCAATCAACTGTTGTTATTGTTATAAACAGCCTCCTGGTGCTTCGGAGCTCATTAACTGTTTAATAATTGTAAACAAAGCCGCCAAAGATTGAGAAAAGATGGACAGGTTCGTAAGTGCCTGCATAACTGCTTCGTGAATCTTGCCCCAGGTTCGTAAGTGCTTGCGTAATTGCTTCGTGAATCTTGCCCCAGGTTCGTAAGTGCTTGCGTAACTGCTTCGTGAATCTTGCCCCAGGTTCGTAAGTACTTGCGTAACTACTTCGTGAATCTTGCCCCAGGTTCGTAAGTGCTTGTGTAACTGCTTCGTGAATCTTGCCCCAGGTTCGTAAGTACTTGCGTAACAGCTTCGTGAATCTGGCCCTAGGTTCGTAAGTACTTGCGTAACTGCTTCGTGAATCCTGCCCCATATTACTGCCCAAGACCTGCCTGGGTGTACTGAGGCCCCCATCAACCTGCTTCCACCTGGAGCTGTGTGAGAGAGCACGGTTGACATAAGCTTGGACTACACTTCCCTTCTATCTGTCATGGCACTCACCACTGGCATTAAGGTACATTCCTAGCTTGGTTCCCTTAGTGTGAAAGCCACTATTCCTCTTAGGAATAGTGGAAATTCCCTATTCCTATTCCTCTTAGGAATAGTGGAAACCTAGGAAAAACTAAGAAAACTAGGAAAACCAAGAAACCTAGGAAAATCCAAGAAAACTAGGAAAACTCAGAAATTAAGAAACCTAGTCTGAGTTTTATTCAGACCTTACACCTTGGCTATTATCGGCTATTGTTTCCTAGGCTTTTCGTTACACCTAGGAAAAGCCACTTACCTCTAGTCTCCAACTCTTAAGTGCAACTAAGCAAGAACCATTGTTGCAAATCTTCCTTAAGCAATAGCCAGCGTGTCGTGACAAGTATCTGCAAGACTGACATTAAGATTCTTACTGCAGATGTCAGGTTTAAGATCCATGTCAACAAGGGCTTTCTTCTCACTGTAACTATGTCAAAATTCACAAATAGGATACCTGTAAGGGAAACTAATGGTTAAACCATTCACTTGTTTATAAATGAGACCATCAATGGTCAAAGTGGTTTGGCACAAGGGCTTCGAGGCCTTGTCGACGAATACGTCCTGGGATATTAACATATGACTGAGGCCGACACATGTGCATGTCAGGTGTACGGAGGTCAGACAAACTGGCTGAGATCAGCACAGGTATAAGTCAGGTATGGGTTGGTTACATGTGCTGAGACCAAACCAGGTGATTGTCAGATGTACAGCGGTAATAACACGTAGCAAAGACCCCCTCATGTCAAGTCAGGTGTGTGTACGGCGTCCACAACACCCGACTGAGAAGCCACAAGCAGCAGTCAGTTGTAGAGGCAATAATGTCTGTTAAGACATGACAAAGGCCTCACACACCTGCCAGGATGACTGCTCACCAGCATATAGTATAAACTCTCTCTCTCGTAATATATATACTCCTCTCTCTCCCACGCCATATATACACACCTGCCTCTTTCCCACGCCATATATACACACCTGCCTCTCTCTCCCACGCCATATATACACACCTGCCTCTCTCTCCCACGCCATATTTACACACCTGCCTCTTTCCCACGCCATATATACACACCTGCCTCTCTCTCCCACGCCATATATACACACCTGACTCTCTCCCACGCCATATACACACACCTGCCTCTCTCCCCCACGCCATATATACACACCTGCCTCTCTCCCACGCCATATATACACACCTGCCTCTCTCTCCCACGCCGTATATACACACCTGCCTCTCTCCCACGCCGTATATACACACCTGCCTCTCTCCCACGCCATATACACACACCTGCCTCTCTCCCACGCCATATACACACACACCTGCCCTCCTCCCATACGAGAACATGTTAGTCGGTACTTGAAAACGATAGAATGATAGAATGCTGGGATATGAGGAAGAGAGAGAGAGAGAGAGAGAGAGAGAGAGAGAGAGAGAGAGAGAGAGAGAGAGAGAGAGAGAGAGAGAGAGAGAGAGAGAGAGAGAGAGAGAGAGAGAGAGAGAATTCAGCAATAACTCAATTATCTTTAAACCTTCGCGAAGTAGCTTCAGACAGCTAGAGAACAGAAAATGGGGGTGTGTGGGAAGGAGAGAAGGGGGAAGTGTTAAAGAATGGAAGAGAAGGGAGGAGGAGAAGGGGTGAATGTTAAAGGGGGGGAGAGAGGTGGGGGGTAGTGGTCAATGTTGTGATGTGTTAGTGGTACTCCCAGCTCTCACATGTGATTGACTGGGCTATTGTCTCCAGCAACACATGTTTCATCTAGTCCGGAGTTGCCCTTGTGCTCGCCGGGTGATTAATATATATATATATATATATATATATATATATATATATATATATATATATATATATATATATATATATATATATATATATATATATATATATATATATATATATATATATGTGAATATCACGAAAATAAACACGTGATTAAGAATGTGACAATGTCAGACCACGACATTGTCAAAAAGGAAATTTCCTGTTTCATTTTTCCTTCGTGGTCTGACTTTGTCATATATATATATATATATATATATATATATATATATATATATATATATATATATATATATATATATATATATATATATATATAGGTACCCCCCTTAATGATATATAGGGGGGTACCACCTCTGGTACAATTGTAGGGAGCCATAGCCTCGAAGAAGAAAATAAAGAGTATTCAGGGAAGACCTTGTGGATTTTCACTGAACGCTTTAATATTTTCTTCTTCTACTCG